TGCCTGTTTTCAACAGATCAATTTCTGAACACCCAAAACGATAGGATGATAGCGGGAAGCCCTGCAGAAGCAGCGATCTGGACACCCCAAGCCGTTGATGGTTTTTGGGGCAATCACATCGGACGGCAAAATGTCCCTGATTTTCTTGGAGAAAGGAGTCAAGGTGGATAGCAAGACCTACCTAAAAAGCATGTTGGAGAAGGAGTTACTCCGTTGGGCTGAATCCCATTTCGGCAACCGGTCATGGACTTATCAACAGGACTCAGCTCCAGCACACAGGTACAATGAGGTACAGGGCTGGTGCGCAACGCACTTCCCAGACTTCATCTCGTCGGACGATTGGCCCCCAAACAAACCAGGCCTAAATCCATTGGACTATTCTGTTTGATCAGCTCTTGAGAGGAAAGCCTGCTCTACTAAGCGTAGAATTTTGGATGCTCTACGTGCAACCCTTGTTGAAGCATGGGAGGATTTGGACGAAGACTACCTCCGTGCCGCCGTCGACCCATTTCCTAGGAGACTTTTAGCCTGTATTGGCGCAAAAGGAGGCTAGTTCGAGATTAAGCTTGTTTTCGTGATCTATATAGCTGTTGATAAATGCTGTTGGAGTTGTATCATGAATCGATCGATTTGACCGTTTTTACGATCATGTTTACCGTGGCCAGAACTTTTGTCGCACCCTGTAGTTATTACAATAAAATAAATAGCAGAAACGCCACTTCGCTAGTTATTTCGGTATTGTGCTTCTTCAACCTTATCTGAGGCTATTAGTTAGGCACCCTGTACTTGAAGCTCCTGATCTGTGACCTATCCGACCAGGCGCCCAAAGACGCGGGCCAGTTGCAGCAACTTCCGGAAATTAAAACTTGGAAAAGTTTCAGCAAAGTCACGAACCTTCTGCACCACCAGCGTTCTATCCCACTCTGTGTGAACACAAGGTACCAGTGAGACACCATTGATTATCGTAAGATTAGAATTATGCGGGTGTTCTCAAAGTCCAAAAAAAGGAAAGAACGGCAAGAGTTAACTTGTTATGGCGAAGCACTCATTTCGGTTGTTCAGACCTGGGTTTTTCTCAGAAAAAAAATCCAAGTCCAAACAACCGAAATGTGTGCATGGCCATAACAATTGAACTCTTGCCCTTCACTCCCTTTTGTGGAGTTTGAAATCAACCGCATAATTCTTATTTTAACATCATAATTATGTCTCATTGGCTCCTTGTTGGTCCTTCTCACATAGAGTGAGACGTAACGGTGGTGGAACCGCAGAAGATTAGCACTTTGCTGGTAATTTTTCCGAGTTTCAGCTTCCGGGAGTTGTTGCAACTAGCCTAGCATGTTTGGGCGCTTGGTCGGTTAGTCACAGATCAGGAGCTTTGAACAATTTGTAGGCTATGAGGACGACGTCTCAGTCTGAACGTTGACCAATGGAGTGGTTCAGTCATAAAAAACCTTCACGGCAGAGAACTATCAATAAAAGGAAGAAACAAAAACTTCAGTGATTCAGTGTTTATTTAATAAATGTGATTCGTTTCGCTTCAACTTCAGGCGAATCACTTCGTTTTTCACCTACGCCTGAGGCCGAACATTATGTAAAATGCCCAGGTTCCAAGAAGACCGAACGTGGAAATTAGTACAGTGTCTGAGCTGCATTTTCAAACTCTTTTTCATTTGAAGAAATTAAAAGTCTCTGGATTGATGGAAAAGGCTAATCCACAGTTTATCCCATCCTAGGTTCGCTAGTTAGTTACATTCATACTAATTGTGCTCAAGCTCACACTACCATGTACGTCACAACAAAGTCGCATCGCACAGAGATGAGTTCCCTGATATGAGCTCCACAGCTCAAGAATCAGGCCATAAGGTGTAGTGGGTTATGAGTTTATACAAAAATTTCGAAGACGTTTCGCTCACCGCAGATGTGTCTCTTTCTTCTGATTTGTTGACCTATTTCCAACCTTTGCCAACCTTCTGAACTTTCTTGTAGCAAAATTATGAATTTTCTGCTTGCACCGCCCATTCCTGTGCCTGTTCCTTCCCTGTCGAGATGATTTCTCTGTGCTCGTATGTGCTTTGTTGATCTTGTCGGAGGCCCCACCCATCCCAAACTTGACAAGATCTTTCTTCTAGTGCTTCTTCAGGTAATACCGAATTCCAGAACAAATAGAGGGACAGGCAGAAGCAAATTTCTTCACTTATACTTAGTAATGATGATGATTTTATAGGTGAATAGACACTTTCGGAACGTTACGAAAGTGACTTCGAGTATAGACACGTTTGGAAAGTAACGAAAAGTTTATGAACATTTCTGATCTTAACCAGTCCCACCTCAGTGCAAGCTACGTGATATTTCGAACACCATTCTTCTAGCTGCCTCTAATCATTTTATCCACATTCTGCAACGTTTTCGAACAGAGTTATGAATTTTCAGCTTAGCCCAACATACCTTAATGCAAACCCTGCCCACTACGAGTACTTGACCACTTCCTTCCACAAAGTTGAACCACTTCTTTTCGCGTTCTAGAAGGTCTTTGTACAAAGTTATAAAATTTTTATTCCATTTCTGCCCACCCTCGTGCGAACCTCGACAACTTTGGGAATTTAACAGCGTAGTTTTTACAGCTGCTGACTACTTCTTCCGCGTTTTAGCACGTGATTGACGAGATTACGAATTTCTGATATTGAGCGCGCCCACCATGTGCAAACTCTGCACACTCTGAGGTTTGACAAGACTTCTTCTGAATATCTAATGACTCTTCTCCCGTGTTCCAGATCGTTTTTGGAAATTTATGAATATTCGACCTTAGCCCAACCCACCCTAGTGCAAACCACTCCTTTGATCTCATCACTTCAAAGTATCGATCTACTTTTTTTGCATTCTAGACCATTTTTGAATAGCATGATGTACAGTAGCGGCCAAAAGCCTTCGGTGAAACGCTTCTCCAATCGTAACTTTTCTCGTAATAGAGGGATTCAAGAAATCTTTTGATATGCCGAACCTCACCTTAAACCGAACTAGTTATACTTTATGGCTTCAAAAGGGGGAAATAGATGACTATGCGCAAAGGTTCTACCACAGAAGCGATTTTTGCTGAATGTTAGGTTAGCGACACTTGCATTTTTTTGTATCCCTTTTGTGCTCGACTTTAGTACTTGTACACTCAAGGCATGCATAGTCACTAGAGAATTCGGCTGGCAGCAGCAGACATGAAGGAATCGGGCATGAAAGTCACGGCCACTTCAAGAATTTTGAAATACCAACAGCAGACGATTTCTTTGATTATTCCATGCTATCAGTTCAAAAACTTTGTTTGCAATGCTTAGAGAACTGGAAGGCTCCGATGTGCTTCATCAGCCCAGAGCAGACGGATCACACCTCGGTCGAGGGCTGGCCCTCGCCTCACTGCGGCTGGCGTTGCCGCTGAGTTCAGCGCTAGCGGTGCAACATTGCTTGCCGGCAGACTGTATGGGACCCCTAAACAGTGCTGGTATCTATGGGAGGCCTTCGACCGAAAAGCAGCGATGACAGGGGAGTAGTACAAGAACATGACGGTCGACATCGTCTTGCCATGGGGCACAGCGCCACATGCCAGCAAGATGGCTGCTTTCATAGTCCGCCGGCCGGCCGGCGGACTATGAAAGCAGCCGATAGGTCCTGCAACGGGGTATTGATCCGAAACACTTCTCAATAGTTGTGAAGGCGGCCTTCAGCGAACAGCGAACCATACTTCTGGACGGTCCAGCCAGTCATCGGATCAGAAACCAAAAGGGCACATATGAGAGAGCTCAAAAGGAGGCGTTTTTCGAGCAAACATTGTGAAAACACCGAAAAACAATTCGCTTAATAAGCGCAGAAGGGAACGCCATGCCAGTGTCTACCATTC